TACAAAGTCCCAATAACCAAGGAAAGTTTACTTCTTCCATTCAAACCAAGTTTAAAGCATGAATAAAGTGAAAGGATAGCTGTAAAACTACACACCCCTAGTGATCTTAATCAAATCAAAGCCACTTGTATAGTCCGAAAGAATAGAGAGTTAAGGTCGGCTTTAAACACTCACAGTCTTTCATCTTTCATATTCTACAGTTCTTTAATTCAGTTTAAAGTTCTTCAAAGCATCTATAGATTCTACACTGTGAAAGCTTTGCGCTGTCCCCCTTTTTTACTTTGTCTCTCCCTGTTTAATGTATCCTGTAAAACGTTATTATTCACTCTTGAGAGGAAGAATGAATTTCATAAAACAACAACAAACTTAGACTTTAGATGTCTCCTCACTGCCCAGAGAACTAGAGAACATAGTTCATTTATTTCACCCACGTTCAACATGATCAGGATCAAGTGAGGGTTTTTCCCCCCACTTGATCTCTTCCCATTACACATATGTAAATTTACTCTCCACTGCACTACTTTTCTGGTTCTTCTCTATTCAGCAAATTCCAATCAGAAAATAATTAACTTCTCCATGAAATGCATCCAGGCTACTGAAGATGAATTTTGTACTAAAAATCCATCTAGCGCAAAGCTAACTCCATTTATTGTGATTCTGTTTTCCCATGGCATTTCAACTATAGTACTAATACTATAGCTGGCACCTTATGTTATATGCATCATCCGTGTTATCTTCCAATTATATGTGTATTATACACACCTAAAACAGAACCTATAAGTTACCCTATGCTAATTTAATATTCATATAACTTCATTTGTGACCTTTGTGCACCTTACGGATTTGGCCATACCAAAGTTTTGTTATTGTCTATAAATGTTAACTCTTCTACAGTGAGATAGAGTGTAGAGAAAGTATCAAGTATTCACAAAATAAAATCTTTAAATTATGCCACAATTAATTCAGATGCACTACAGTAATTAATTCTACTATTCTCATTTAAAATTTTTAAACTGAGGCACAGAAAAATGAACCTGCCACGGGTACACAGCTGCGAGAGAGTGGAGCGAATTCTCACTCGTCTTCAGCCTAACGTCTTCATGATCTCAAAGCCCATGTTCGAACTCTGGACGGACTCCATGTGAGTCACCAAAGTCTCTCCGAGGTGCATTAGAAGGCTCTGTCTGACTTCTGGGGGCTAATAAACCCTGGCAGTCATATGAAATGTGTTTGTGTATGTAAATATAATTTTCTTTAGTGAGAGGGTGGATAAAACATAGGTGACACTTATTAAGAACTTACCATAAATCAAGCCATGTTTTCTATGCATTTTGATTTTATCAACACAGAAGCAGAGCCACCTCAATATAGGCCAGGCACTGTTCTGTTTTCACGCATATTAACTAACATATAATCATCATGCCAATTCCATGAGATTGGTATTATAATTACATAGGCCATAAATTTGTGATCCTCAAAGACCTTCGTGTCCCCCCCCAATGTCTGCAGATTAGAAATAAGAATAAGAAGGAATAAGAAAGAACAGTGAAGAATAGGGGAGAAAGAGAAGGAGGAGGAGGAGGAGGAGGAGGAGGAGGAGAAAGAGCAGGAGGAGGAGGAGGAGTAAGAGAAGGAGAAGGCAAAATGGAAATTTTGAATATTTACAAAATCAAAGATTTTTATAGCAGCACACCAAAGGCTACTAGCTAATGCTCCTTTCCAAAGAGCATACCATGTATTCATGAAATAAACACAATATGGGACGAAAAAGCAGCAAGCTGGGTCTATTTCTTTATGATATAATTAATGGATAAGGTAATACTGAGGTCCACAGATATATCAGGAGCAGAAGCTTAGTAATCTAGAAAAATATCTCCCTGAAACACTCAGCCAAAAGCAAAAGAACAAAAGGAGGAAAGTTAGCTCAAAGTTTGGGCACTTAAATCCTCTCTTATAGGCACCCTATGCAAAGGCCATCCTGATAACTAGACAAGAGTAGTGATGGTTGCTCTCGTGGCCTGGATGGATTCTCCAGTTTAAACTTCTATAGATATGCGACCATTGGCTTAAAATCTCACTGCTTCATTTACCCACTTGAAAATGGGAGAATATTAGAAATGTATAGATTTTACTGATTGAAAAGAAAAAAATGTTTACTAATGGAATAACATAGGTAGCACATATTAATGATTCCATATTAGATAAAATATAAATATTATTATTGTTCCTAAACAGCTTGCACAGCTGTATGAGTAAGTCTTTATTTGAAGTCCCTTGTATCTGTGTAGTAATACTGAAGGGTAAACGTGACTATGGAGGAGACCGACAGAAATGATTGTACAAAGGTACATCATTGTATATGCAGTTATTTTGCTTGCATCTACACTTTGTAAAGATCCAAAGTTGTAATACTAGCTACAGTATCCACAGGGATGTGAATCTCCATTTATGAAGGTGGCAAATATGTATGTCAAGAGTCACAAATTCACAACAGCAATTAAGTGGCATATGATAGTCACATGTCTTGCAACATAGAAATTTTCTTACTTATCATGTATCTTTAGCTTCTTAGTAAATGAATATATAACTAGGGCTCTAGCATAACTTGTAGGATCAAGATAGTATTTTGGAATGTATTTAAGAGTCTCTAACTCTCCTTCCCGCCTCCGTTGGCTGGTGCCATGTAGTAGTGAGCTGGGGCTAAACCCTAGCTCAGGAAACAGGGTGAATGACTGCCGAAAGCTTGGGAACAACCCGAACCCGGCGAAGTGGGTGGTCTAGAATCTGTCAGGTGGTCTACGGTCTGTTGTGGCCGTCGGTTGGAACAAACCTGCCAGGCTTTCTTTCCCACAGAATCAAAACTAAAAGTTAAAAAAAAAAATTCTCTCAGTCTCTTAGTGACATATTCCAGGCCTACTCATTCCAACAGGGAGAAGCCAGTTTTATAACATGGCAAAAGCATGGTAAATACACTCCGGGTACTCAGGAAAATTCTTTGTATTATCTATCAAATTTGAAGTGAACATCTCCTTGGAACTATTAACTCCTTTCAGAATAAATCCAACTGCCTATTCTGGAGATACAGGCTGATCATATTGCAAAAATGCACTAAAAAAAAGAGTCTCCATATATTAACAGAGAAATATTTAAAATTTTTTTCAATTAAAAATCAATTTCAAAATGGTACATTATGAATAAAGTTGCAAATTTCTGAAATAATGAAAGAGCTGTACACATAAAGCCTGATAGAGTATTACACCTAAACACCACTAGCATTTACTTATAAGCAGAATAATAACGGGATGAAAAAGTAAATTTTCTGTTCACTAAAATTTTGTTCTAGAAACAATTACTTTCAGAATTTACAGAAATCACAAGAATTTTCACACGCGACAGGCCATTCAAAAATATTACTGGTATACAAATATTTAAAGAAATCTTCGCCATTCCTCAAATTAACTGGAAGTATCATTCCCAAGCCTTGTCACTAGTCTCGGAGATTTGTCATTATTTATAATCACAATGGTAGAGTCAAATGCTTATGAAATCTTAATACATACCGTTCAATCAAGCACTGCACTACCTTCAAAATATATGAGTAAACTCCGTATATGAAGATCTAAACTGAAATTTGGAGAAAAGGAAAGGGCAAATGGTTCTCAATTTCCACCGTGCTTTGAAAAGTGAAAAATGACAATTTACTACTACTTGCCACCTCCCTTTCCTCGACTTCCCCACCCCACCCAAACGGTAGGAATAGAAGAAGAGCAGGGCCTGAACCTTGCTTGATCACCCACTTCAAACACTGCAGGGGCTACACTGAGTGTAAACTGGTGCTGGGAAAGGAGAGGGGTGTTTTGAGGGTGGGGAAAAGCTCTCAGGGCTGGAGGGGAAGAATGTCGGAAGAGTAACTCTTGGGGGGAGGGGGGGAGAGAAGGAGAGATGCAAAAACGAAAACAGGAGAAAAGAACAAAAACACTACTACTAGGAAATAAACCTAGAGAAGTTTAGTTTCCAAGGCGGCCCATTAAATTCCGAGCTTCTATAATGTGAATTCTCTAGTCCTTGCTAGCAGGTGAAGTGCTTATTGAAATGCCTTCAAAGAAAAGTTTACTGACAACTGTTTGCATAGTGGGATGGGGTCTTTTGACTCTGTTCCATTGAGCAAGCCTTTGATACGGGGCGCATCAGGTATGAAGCATGATATTATATTCAGAGCTTTTTTTAAACACGTGTTGGCTGATTCCCGTTAGACAAGTAATGGTTATTGCTTAACTGACACACTCTTTAAACAACCTTCCAAAGGGCACTTCTGCCCAAAGAGATTTAAGATGGAACAGAACTGTATCTGAATAAGCATCATACGCCTATGCAGTATGCATATAACCCCTCCCAACACAAGAGCATCCCTGGAAGAAGACATCCACTCCAAAAACGTCTCTAGGACACAAGGACGGTCTCTGAGACTTAGTGACAAGGCTTGGGGATGATGCTCCCAGCCTAAGCACCTCCCCAATAACCTCTGGTCCAGAGAGATCCATGGGGCCAAGAATTGCCACAGGCCACACACACACACACACACACACACACACACACACACACACACCCCTCCACCAAAACCCCCAAGAGACCCAGAGACCTGACAACCACGTGATCCGCCAAGAGTCGCCCAAGCTTTCCCTGCACTCAATCAAATCCCAAGTTTTATTTTTTTTCTTCTCCGGGTGGGGGCGAAGGGCCTGCAGCACCCTCCTCCCCACCGCCCCTCCCCGCCTCCCCTCCAGCACTTTCTCCCTGCCCGCACCGCAGGCTGCGGGAGGCCTCGGGGTATCCGCTTTCAACCCCGCCTGGCCTAAGGGTCCCTTCCGGGCAAACCGACGCCCCTCCTTCAGCCTCTGGGTGTGTGCGTGTGGGGGGGGGGGGGGACGACTCCCCCACCTCGGCTCCCGCCACTGGCCCGGGGCCCTGGACTCGGGTGCAGCCGCGGGCGAGAAACTTACCTGCGCGGAGCCGCGGCGGAGTCGGGGTCGCAAATCAGCCGCGCCGCAGCCGCCGCATCTCGCCGCCGCCGCCGCCGCAGGTTGCCCCCACCCCTCCCCGGCTGCGCTGCCCGGCGCCGCACTTTCCCGAGCCGGGCAAGTTGGCTTGCAAAAGCGAGGTGGGGGGTGGGGGTGGGGCCGGGGTGCTCGGAGCGCGGCCGCCCGAGGGGGGGGTTGCTTGTGGTGGTGGTTTGTTTGTTTGTTTGCGCCCCTCGGCCGGGCAGCCCGCGACCCCGGACCATATGCTGGGAGGATATTAGCTGGGCTCAATGGCGACACGGCAGTGGCCCGACTCGCACCGTCCGATCGATTTACTAAACAAACTGAAACGTGGGTGGGGATGTTAAACAGTAACCAGCAAGCCTCAATGAAAACTGAAAGCGCCGCGGCCCGCCACCGCCTCGCCGCGCCGGTTTCCCGGTCCCCGAGGTCCCCGCGCGAGCGCCCGCGGCCAAGACCCCGGCCTCCGGGCACGATGCGGCTCTCCCGGGACCCCTCGGGGGCCACCCGCAAGCCGCAGTGGCCCAGGGCACCGCCGAGGCTCTGATCCTGGGGGTGGGGGGTGGTCAGTGATCGCTTTTCCACCCACCCCTGCACCCCGACGAGCCCCGGGACCCGGCGCGACCCACCCCCACACACACACCCCGTCCCGGGTCCCGCGTGGCGCTGTCAGCCCCGGAGGCAGAAGGTTGGGGGGACACGCGGGGCGCCTAGAATTAGGGGCTGGACACGTCCAGAAAAAGGGCCGGAAGTATCAGGCAAAGGACTGAAGTTCCCAGGAACAGCACCGCGGCCACGCCGCTAGGGGAAGCCTCGGTCACTTCTTTATAAACCGCACCTAGGGCGGCTGGGACTCCCTTTGCCCCAAGCTAGTGACCGCTGAGCTCTTGCAAGATTTCCGGGAAGAGGAAGAGACTTTTATTTATTTTCTTTCTTTCTTTTTATTTTTTAAATGTTGCCGTTCCTAGCCCTCCCAGCCACCTGTGGCTTTGGCCGTTAAGTACTTCTTTAACATATGTATCGGATGGGAAACGGCCTCGTCTCCCTCCCACGCCCGAGGTGCAGGGTCCAGCTCTCCCGGCCTTCGCAGGGATGCTGAGACCCACGCCAGGAGCGCTGGTCATCTTGACCAGGCTTTTGTGAACTTCTCCATACAGCCCAAAGCTGCGGCTTTTAAAAACATCTCAACAATTTAACTTCGTGGTTTCAAGAATGAGTGACTTCAGGTCAAACAAGTAATTATCCTCATGAGATAAATAGTTACTTAATCCGTAAGGTTTTTCTTTTCCGACCCAGGGCTTGGCGGTTATTTTAAGACTGTAATAACAATGCCAGGAGGATCAAAGGGCTAGGTATTTTTTTTCCTTTTTCTTTTTAGATCGGGTTTACTAAACTTTCTCAGTTTCCTCCTTCTGAATCTCTTGCTGAAAGGCTCTTTTAAAAAACAAGTTGTTGGCAGTCATAGAAATGGGAACAAAGGAGAGAGATCATATACTATTTTCTTTAAATGGACCTTCTGGAGCAAAACACATTCTTTGGGTCCTCGTCGTTGCCCACGCGACCTGCGAAGCACCTAGCAAAAGCGACCTCAGCCCACCACTGCCCCGGGAAAAAGTCCAGAGTCTGCTGAGGCGGAAAAGTAACAATTAACGGGTTACACTTATTATGTAAATCTTTCATAGGTGTGCAGCTTAAAGATCATCTCTAAATATTCTCTCAAAACATTTCCTGATACCTGAAGAGTGAAGGTAATCTTATTGTTTGCCAACATCTAAATGCATAGTTTCCATAAAACTTTTAAGTCTGAAGACAGAAATTCACTATTCCCGTGCGTGCAATGCATTATTCCCAGCGCCCTGGAAGCTGCAATGCCACCTAACATCTGTTGTTCCATCCGAGAGCACAATTCAGTTCAATAGTCTCGATTTATTTCACTAGTAACAAGTTGAGATGTCAGTGAATTTGGTTTTGCATGATTAATTCATCATCATCGCTGTATGGTAGATACCCTGAACTATCAGGAAATGATCATCTTCTCGTTCTATGCTGAAAAATGACTTTCACACACTTGTAAAACTTTTGCTAGAGAGTTTATCATCATAGCATTTTGCATAATAATGAGAAAGTGAGCAATACGTTCAAGGAAATGCAAACTTTGTTAAGACTTGGGTATCAGCTAAAGGAAGTATTGCATTTTTTCCATTTAGAAAGTCTCTGTGAAGAGTTTTATATAACACTGCCAATTCTCCTGCATCCTGAACAAGAAGGGAGTGGTTCCAGGTGACTAAATAAATAAACAAATGAGTGACATTAGAGCTCAAGGAAGGTAGGGGTTGGGCAGTTTACACCAGATCAGCCAGTGCCAGTTGACCAAGCTGTAGAGCATCAGCTATATTGTCCCTGAAACTAATTTATTTCGGTTCTTCATGGCATGAGTTTATGATGCTGAAAATGAAAAACGCGCCGCCCCAGACTCATGGGAGGTCCGAGGGACACAAAGAGAAAGAAGAGATCAGCACAATTTTTTTTTTTTTTTCAGAAAATAGCTCGCAGGAACTGTCAGATCGTGTCTCTATAGTTAGTATGGGTATAACTGCCTGTACTTTTTTCTCCCCTGTTGCTTTAGCCTAAATCTAAACATGAAAAAAAATGTGGCGTCAAAAAAAAAACCCACAAAATACCCTTTATTTTGCTTATCTATTAATTGTTCCCCTGAGTCTGCACTTTTCTTTGCCAATTTATTTTTCACACACAAACGCACGCACACACACGTAAAATATTCCTCTTCCCAGTGTCACCACGTTGTCCTGATAACCACTCTGACTTTTCCCATTAAGGTTCAAGCTACTGGTAATTAAACGCAAAGGCAACGGAATGAATGATCAGGTGGTGGAGAGGGCGCGGCAGGAGAGTGCAACCTCGAGGGGGCAAGATGCTCCCTAAGTAATAAGCATCCAGGGACCCCATTCCAGAGAGCAGTTTCATCTCCCCCTGAGCCCGTGCAGGAAACCATCGCAGGATGCAACAGCGAAGTGGGTTTTTCCTGCAGACACGCCGCACCTCAGCTGCCAGATGCCGCACGGGAGCTTTGGCTCGGGGGTCCGGGGCGCAGGGGAGCCCGCACCGCCCCGCGGGGGCGCCGTCTGGGGGCGACGCGGCTCATCCTCAGGCATCCTGGGACGCAGGAAGGGGGCAAGAAGCGAGGGAACGGGGAGGAAAGAGAATAAAGGCACACAGCTCTCCACCTGGGCCAAGCCCTGGGACCCTTTCCAAGCCGATCTCCCGTGAAGGACCGAGCACCGCGGGAGAAAAACGTTCCCGGGGGAGTGGTCTCGGCTGGAACCAGAGTCTGGAGCTGCTCTAGGCGTCTTCCCACAACTCCAGCCTCGGGGGCAGGTGTTGATTTTTGACCCTGGGGAGGAAAGAAGCCACCCCCATAAAACCACGGCCCCCGCGCCTTCGCACCCCGCCCCCCGCCCGCCAGCTCCCAGGCCTCGAGAGCGTTTGGACCCGATGGAACGGTTCTGTGCTGGCTGGAATTGCGGCGCGGGGCGTAGAGGCTTTTCCCTCTGGCCGCCGCGCCTTGCCTCGTCGGTCTTTAAGGCCAAGCACAGTCCCAGTGCTCCCCGGCGTAGCCCAAAGCAAGGACACAGATCGCCTGAGCCACAAAGCTGCAGGTTAGCGCCTCTGGAAAGGGGGTCGCAGAGCTCTCCATCACCCCCACCCCCAACCCTGCGCTGTAGCCTCGGGCGAATTGGCCCTTTCGGCGTGGAGCGCTAATGGGTTGTGACTCGGATCTCCAGGACTTTGGTATCCTCCGGCACTTATTTGATTTGTACGGGTCACTCGTCTTTTAATGTCTTGAATTCTAAATGATAAAAACTAGAGCAAAAGACCAGTGGCACCGGCGGGTGGAACACGGGGTAGGCATTGATTAGTGGCTCTTCTACTGCAGCAGCAGCGACACCTGAGCTGAGCCTGTAAAGCAAATGCCCAGGCGCTTCCCTGCTCCTTGATGGAGCCAGATGCTTTAAAACACTAGTGGAAAGCTGCAAGCCCGGTCTCCAGGACTGAACACGGTTTGACTTCACGCAGATCCAGATAAAAATGGGAGTCTTTCATTCATTTATGCTCGAGTCACATCAGAAGCACCCAGAGTGAGTGCAGGTAAGTAGGGCCATAGGAATGTTACCACACTCCCGTTACCTGTTAATATTAACGCGGAACCAAGCAGATTGAATGTCTAATAGGACACGGCTCTGAGTGTGAGAAGCATGATGAGACAGTGTGCAAATCAAACATTTAATAATTTCTAGCGTCAGCGTAGGGTTCTGTGCCACAAAAACAAACTGCTAGGTTGAATCTCCGTCCCCACCCCCATCTCTTTGTAAATTTCCTGCTGAGGTATTGATTGCTAAGGTCTCTGCAAGATTTGCAAACTTTTACAGTCATTTATGGTGCGTGCAATAAAAAAAGGTGATATGACCACACTAGTTCAAGTTCGAATGCAAAGATGTAATCCGGTGTCCTTGGCAACTATCTGTGGGACCTGTTTGTCTTGCCTGAACACACCCTTCTCTGCAATGAGCCCCTCCGTACATTTTCAGGGTCTGGGCCCCTCCATGGAAAGGCACACGTGTTCAAACAAACACAAGAAGATTGGTGATTTCAATCACGATTCATGTGGGGGGGGGGGGGAGATTAATAAAATCTATCATGAAAAAAACAATTTAAGTCCCCTTCTTTCCTACTATTATTTTTTAAAAAGGAAATTAATCACCACACAGTAATCTGCAGAACTTTTCTCTACGGAAAAATTAAAGTATTGGGATGATGTAAAAGAGAACAGAACATTTTGGAGTGTATGTGCTGAAAGAAGAAAAAAGAAAGACTTGGATATTTTAGGTGGGAATATATGGCAAGTTAAGTACACATTTCTTTCTGTATTTTAATTGCATAATTTTTCAATAAAGTATGAGGACTTGTTTTACTCTGTAATTGTAGATAGAACTCAAAAGCCTTATTAGAAACATTATACCCAGTTTTACCAGTCTTTCCCTTTAGTTAAGATTATGTGTACACCTACACATAGAGGTAAAGAGAGAAAGG